GGATCATTATCAGTTGTAAAATAAAAAAAATCTGTTTAACTTTTTTCTATCCTCTATGTCACTGACTAGTGCTGCAGAAGTTTAGTTTTGTTTATTCCCCTGCACAGTTGAATAATTTTGTTGATGGGGTTACAAGTTCTCCACGTTCTGCCTTAGACAACGCAGCCCCTTTGAAAAAGAAAAACTTTTCAAATAGAAAGCTGACTCCCTGGTTTAATGCAGAGCTGTGCACTTTGAAGCAAAATGCTAGGAAACTGTAAAGAAAATTGTGCTCTACAAGCCTACAGGAATCCTACCTAGCCTGGTAAAACAGTTACTGCAGTATAAGATGACCCTTTGTAAAGCAAGAGCAGCATATTCATCCTCATTAATAGAGGAGAATAAGAATCATCCTAGATATCTTTTTTTTTTTTTTTTTTAACAGTGTCCTGTCTGGCAATGTGGCAATAAGAATAATTGTCTTGATGCCAAAAGGAGCCCAACAGATTTTACTTTATCTTTTTAATACAGTTGCCAAACTTATCTTCTCTTAGCAGTAATGATTTTATGTGATTCTTTATAAATAAGATGTCACAGTCAAAAGCTAAACTGATTAAAAGAAATTAAATCAATACGCATTTACGCTAAGATGGAGCTTAGTAACCATGGCTTTATATTTGAGAAGAAGAATTTAAAATTCTTTTCTGGATTTAACAGGAGGCCAATGAAGGAAAGCTAGAATAGGAGAAATATGATCTCTCTTTGCAATTTTAGTCTCAACATTTTGAATCAGCTGAATTTTCTTAACTTAACATAAACTAAAGATTTAAGTAACAAATGCATGGAGTAGTTTATCAGCCTCACCCCAGGACAAGAGATTATAATGTTAATTAATTTGTTCCTAAACTGTTCCTGAATTTCAATGTGACTTATTCAAAATTTTGTTGTCTACCTTGTTTTCAGAATCCAATAAAGTAATTTCTTAATTTCATGGGCCTAGCAATAATCAGTCCCTGGCATGGATCGTGAAATTGAACTTAACTTTTCAAAAATGTATTATAAATAAAGCTTTTATTATGGGAGAGAATCGTGTATGTTTTGTAGCTAATTTTATATGTTTTTTACCCTTTTAAATCTAAATATCATTTAGAATGTGCATTCTGAATTTATTCTAATTATCATGTCTGATACTTTGTGACAAACAAGCAAAAAAAGGAAATACATTTCTCCAGATCCTGAGAAATTCAGAGCAATCTTAGCCTTTAAAAAAATCTTATTTTGAATGTTCTTTTTCTTTTTTTGTTAAAACAAAAAACGATCTAGGAAAGAAAACGAAATAAGATCACTTAAGTAAGGCCCAATGTCATAGAGATTATTCAGGAGGTTATGTTTGTCAATTCTGGCAATTTTACCCAGTAGATGGCAACATAGACCATAACATAGACAAAGTGCCTGTACCTGTAAAGACCTTCATCAAGTCAGAGACCTCACTGTCGCTTACAGTACATTCAATTATCCACCCACTCATATGTTGATGTTGGTAAGCTACATTGTAACCCCAGGGCAGCTGAGGCAAAAAACGAGGCTGCCATACAACCGCGCCACCTTGCCCTGTGATCACCAACAGCAGGCTATGCCGGTGAAGTGAAATGCCTCACCAAAGACACAACAGCAACTGACAAGCTTCACCCAGTTGGGGCTGGACACTTTTATACTAGTATCATACTGTACATCACGTTGTGGTCAGTAGCATACAAGCTTAAAAGTAAACAAGAATAATTTCAACGGACAGAATAAATGATTACATTTACATTTAAAGATGCACAAATGTCACAGGGTTAGAGGGCAGACTGGCTGAACTAAGCCGTACAAAGTAGAAATGACTGTGAATTGATGCTATATATTTGATAATTTTGTTAATCAGGACTGGGGCAAGGTGCACAGTTCAAAACGAATTAGCTCAGAAATGAATAAAACTGAGAACAAACAGATAATTAGGTTGTTATAGAAATAATAATTAGTTTTAGCCCCCTTATGGGTTCTATTTCTGGTTTAAATTTTGTCACAACACTATATTGTTGAAAGTATATGCTCACCCATCCAAAATATTGGAATCAGGTAGTCCAATCACTTACATGGTAAGAGGTATATAAAATCAAGCAGACTGTTGTTACAAATATTTGTGATATAACGGGCCGCTCTCAGAAGCTCAGCCAGAGGATGCTGAAGCACATAAAGGTTGCCAGTTTTATGCAGAAGCAATCACTATGCACCTACAAACTTCATGTGGCCTTCAGATGCACCAGTCCATAAAGCAAAGGTCTATAAATGAACTTGAATGGCCTACACAGAGTCTTGACTTCAGCCCAAAAAAACACCCTTTGGAGGAATTAGAGCAGCGACTGAGAGTCAGGCCTTCTTGTGCAAAAACATCTCTTTTTTAAGAATGGTCAAAAATTCCCATAAACACGCCCCTTAATCTTGAGGAAAGTCTTCCCAGAAAAGTTGAAGCTGTTCTAGTTGAAAAGGGGGAACATATTGAACTCCCATGGATTATGATTGGGTTGTCACTTAAGCTCATATCTGAGTCTAGACAAGTGCGTGAATACTGTTAACATGGGCCATTTAAAGTGGGTGCTTTCATGCCACATAACCAATGTCAGGGAGACATCATTTAAGGATATGGTTAAATATATAAATATAATAGTCAATGCAATCAACTGGTTTTCCTTAGATAGAAAACTTTGTATCAATTTGACTGTATGATCTGGTTGAACTGTAAAGTGCCTTGAGATGACATGTGTTGTGAATTTGGCGCTATATAAATAAACTGAATTGAATTGAAATAATTATTCAAATTAGTTGATTGAAACATCAAATTCAAAATTGCAGTGTGACATCCATTTTCTTTACAAATAGACACAAGCCCAGTGTCTCATACCAAATTGTAACAATTTGATATATTAGGAGCTTGCATGTCTTCAACAAGCTTCAGGAGGAACATGATGTTATGTATTCCATAAAAGTTTAAAAAACAATCCACTGGACTTGGTTTCCAAGATTTTAAGACCTTTCGCTTCCCCTCCAGGAAGCTTTCTCAATTCAAATGCCTTGATCCGCAGTGAGTTTGAGTCTTTATATAGACAAGGCCTTGTATTGCTTGGAAACATTGAAATTGAAACCGACGAGTGGGTTGTTTGGTTCGATTGTTAGCCTGTAATATCTGAAACCTTACTATGATTCTGAAGGTCGATCGTTAAAGGGGGGGATTGACGTTAAAAGGGGGGGGTTGTCTCCTGTAATACCTAAAACCTGTCTATGATTGTTAAGGGTCAGTCGTTAAGGGGTGTTGTTCACCGGCTGAAGAGTGGAGGTACTTTATTCCTCTGTGATGGGGAACAAAGTACCTCTACATACATAACATCAGCATGACGTTATGTATGAAGGGGCACATGATGTTATCAGCATGATGTTATGTTTGTATGTATGAATTAAAATCATTCTAGCAAATTGTTTGTGGACCAGTGGTTTAAACCACTGATTTCTAAACTTTTTCACATCACACCGGGAAAGCCACATAAAATAGAAGTCATGTATTACTACATCAGTTTAAAAAGAGCATTAGTGGCCTTTAATGATCATTTAATGAAGCATTAATAATTTCTAAAAGCATTGTTTGTATTTATTTCTTTTAACTGGAGTTAAAAATATATTCTTAAATATCCCAGACTTGGAATCAGAGCACAATTTGTCAAAAAAAGAGCAACATTTACAAACCAAATGAATTATCAAACAATACACAAAAGACTCAAAAGTAGGCTATTTTTTTTCTGTGGCATCAATTGCTGCAAGTGCCATACAATCAGTAATTAGTACCGCAGGCTAAAGTCATGTCAGGGCATTTTGTAGATAATCTACTGTAGCAGTTTTCAACTTCTGTTTTTGATATCTTTAATCAATAATGCATTGTATAAAAAAAATCAAATTACCTATGATAAAAATGGTAAAGGTTATTTCATATATTATGAACCAGTCTTTGTTAATGTCATAGTAATTAACTGTTTTTTTATGAAGTTATTTATTTTACATCAAGTAATTTTTTCATTGGATAAAATTTTAGGACAAATTTGCCTATATGTTTTCATTTAATTTTATATTCCAATTAATTCCTTGATTCAAAACAAATTCTGTTTTAGTCATTCAAGTGAATTATCCCTTTCCTCTGACCTTTGAAAAATAAGATGAGACAAGTTATCTTATTGAATAGTTCTATCTTTATAATTTTAAAGAGAACAGTAAGACATCCATTCAGTAAACACATTTTTATTCAATTTGGTAGCAAAAACAGCACCTCAGGACAACAGTGTGACACGGGTAGCTTCCTAAGGGGTTGAACAGTTTCAGTTATAGAACACGCACAGGGAAGACATGCACTACCTACTGTAGCAGGCAATTGTAAGACAACAGTTGACCAAAAATACTAAAATTCTGTTTCAGTACATTCACATTCCTTTCACAAGATCACTATCCATTAAATGCAACACAAAAGACTTTCATGTATGGATTAGCACTTGCATTGACTTCATAGGAGTGTGCTTAAATGTTTATTTTCTTCCCTACTTGCAATTTGCCCTAGTTGAAATAACTGGTTGATGCAAAACTACTTCTTTTTGTACAGTCAGACATCAGACATACTGAATGAGTTCGTTGGTCCCTTTCAGATCTTTGGTAGTGTTAGGATTATGTATTTCTTCATCAACATGTTTGTGCTTTATAGGAAAGTGGCCGGAAAGCATTTTACTTCAGACTGGTTTAGTACACTACTTGATGGGGGTGGGCTGTGAGTATAGAACTACCAGAGAGGCAGAGGAGATCATAGCAGACAGACAACTGCATCTCTAATCTATACAGCTCAATCCTCAATGACTTCAGAGGACTCGGAAACCACCCTGCCATCCTTGGTCTCAATCATTTTGATGACAACATTCTTCTTGCTCTGGGTGGTGCTGTAGCCACCAGCACTGCCACTGCTGAAGCCGCCGCTGCTGTAGCCACCGCTGCTGTAGCCTCCACTGCTGTATCCACCACTGTATCCACTGCTGTATCCACTGGAATAGCTGCTCTTCATACTGTCCATGGGGAACCCGCCATAACTTGCTGTTGAGATCAAACAAGATAAATGTAAGAAAATATACCAACTAAAAAGCTAAAAAAGGATTCACTGTCTATTTATGACAACTTACTGCTCTGTTGGGAGATGTTGATGGCCTTAATACCGTTGGCCAGTCTGTCCTCCTCTCCCTCCAGAAGTTTTCTGTAAGTGGCAATTTCGATGTCTAAAGCTAGCTTGACGTTCATCAGATCCTGGTACTCTCTGATCTGTCGGGCCATGTCCTGTTTGGCTCTCTGCAGTGCCTCCTCCAGGTCCTTGATGCGAGATTTGGCGTCCTTCACAGCCAGCTCACCACGCTCCTCAGCCTCAGCAATCTGAGCCTCCAGGTTGGCCCGCTAATAAAAATTTGTAAGACATTTAATTGATTATGAAATACTTATATAGAGTGGCTTTAAGTCTTGTTTCATTTTGTGTGAACCTTTTTTTCATTTTTCTTTTCTTTACCTGTCCCTTGATTGCATCAATCTCTGATGTTAGTCTCTGGATCATGCGGTTGAGATCTGCAATTTCTGTTTTGGTAGCCCGCAAGTCATCCCCATATCTTGTGGCTGAGGTCTGCATCTCTTCATACTAAAAATATCAAAGTTAGTATTAGAAACTCTCAGGTCTTGTAAAACCCCTCACGTGTTATAATTCTTAAACGAGCATTTTAATACCTTGGTCTTGTACCACGACTCTGCCTCAGCACGGGTGCGGTTGGCAATATCCTCATACTGTGCCCTGACTTCGGCCACAATAGAATCCATATCCAGGTTGCGGCTGTTGTCCATCTCCACAATAACTGAGGTGTCCTTGATCTGGCTCTGGAGCTCACGCAGTTCCTGAGGAAATTTAAACAAACAAACAAAGGATAAGGATCAGTCAAATTAAGTTCTTAAAGAAATTCAACCCACAAACATTCCTAGAGATGGAGAAAGTTTTAGATCAAAATGCTAAACAGATGTTCAAAGAACATGCATCAAAGTATAGTCAAGCTCTAAAATTAAACCGCAAAAATTACAGGAATGCGATGACTAATAATAGAATCAACCACAACACTGACTGAGTTTGAAGTCTTAAGAAATGAAGAAATAAAGAACACCAAAGAGAAAAGTCTGTGCCATACCTCCTCATAGATGGACCTGAGGAAGTTGATCTCATCTGTCAAACTCTCCAGTTTCGCCTCCAGCTCAACCTTATTCATGTAGGCTTCATCTACATCCTTAAAAAAACATGCTTGTTAAAATAGTAAGTCAAAAAAGTTTGATTTAGTAGCGGAATAGTATGAGGATTACCTTCTTGATAAGGACAAAGTCATTCTCACACTCTGTGCGCTTGTTAATTTCATCTTCATACCTGAGGAGCGCAAACAAAGTTTATCAAAAGGAGTTTAAGTGCTCACAAAATCTCAGCACATGTTACATTTCTCTTGTGTATTCTGAAGTGACTCTAGGTGGCAGTAGTAGTCCATAGGTGTCTTTATCTCATTGGGACATTTGCTTCCCAAAGTCTTAATTTATGGTCCAGTGAGGTAATTGTTATTGTTATGCTTCCCACCGGACCTTCTTAGTTTATATGTCCCATATTTTTCTAACGCAACTCTGGTTCTGATCCTTTTTTTTTCTAGCCCTTTTATCTATTTTTTTAAGAATTCCCCTTCCCTATCACATGCAATGCAAATCCTCTCTTGCTTAGTTGAGTTTATACCTCTAGTGTATTGGGTGTGTGAATCATGTTTTTTTTGTGTTGCATTTCCCTGATGTTTGTATGATGTAAAGCAATGGATAGATGTAGGGAGGAGTCCACACGGGGATTGGTACCTCTCAAGAAGCCAACTTTGTTCTGCCCAGTAATGGTAAAACCTAAATAAAGCCAATCAGTATTAACTTCCTTGACACTTACTTGTTCTTAAAGTCCTCCACCAGGCCCTGCATGTTATGCAGGTCAGCCTCCAGCTTCATCTTGTCATTGCCCAGGCTATCCAGCTGTCTGCGGAGATTGGCAATGTAGGCCTCGAACATTGCATCAATATTGGAGCGGGTGGCAGTTTGTCCCTGCAGCAGGTTCCATTTAGTCTCCAGCATTTTGTTCTGTTGCTCCAGGAAACGGACCTAACGATAACAGAAAGATAAATAATTAGCATTGATGTCCCTTGGATATTTGTTATCCTCCTTTGAGGATATACATAACATTCAAGAAAAATCCATTAGTCATATAAAGTTTTATTGGAATTTAATCAGTTTCAATGTTAGAGAATATATATTTTACACTGCATGAACTCTGTGTTCTCAATTCTTCTAATCCAGTTTTTTCATCCTGGTCCTCAAAGCACACTGCCCTGCATGTTTTAGATGTTTCCCTGTTTCAACACATGTGATTAAGATGATTGCAGATCCTCAAACCCTGATAATCTGCTATCAATTACAATTAGCTGAAAAGCTGGGAAACATCATATACATGCAGGGCAGTGTGCCTTGAGGACCAGGGTTGAAAATCATTCTTTCTAATCATTTGTTTTCTGAGGTGATTAGCAGATTTTTTCCATACTGGGCAACAGGAAGGCCTCCCTTACAAATATGCATCCTGACAGGATCTAGGTGGATGGAAAAAAAGCAGTGATGGCGGAATAGAGCTAGTAAACCCTTCTCTCTTCATGCCTTCCTGTTTTTCCAGTGGGTTAGACAAAAAGGGGTGTGGTGAATAGCTCCTACGGTCAGATGTGGAAAGGTAAACATTTACTGTATATTATAGGTTTGATGAGGGAAGAGTAATGAGGAGTTGAACGTGATAAAGGGGTTGCCTCAAAGTGTCTGCATGTGTGTGTGTTGGTGTAGGGGGATATTTGCTATGAAGTGGTGAGTCTGCATTCTGTGAAAAGTAAAGAGATAACAAAAGCAGATTGAATGACTCAGTGGACCTTGTGCTTTGCTGTTGAGAGTCGAATGATCACAATCTTAAATTAAACCCAAACAAGAACAGACAGCAAAGTACCTTGAAATGCCAGAGAGGCAGAAGAAACTTTGGCTGAAGCTAATCTGCTCAGTTTTGAATCATGCAAAACACTCCTTATCTTCATTTTAATATTGCACCAGGAGGAGGAGAGTTGATACACAACGAGGCAGCTGGCAATGACCAGAACATGAAACCAGCCAGGTTTTTAAATATTAACCCACAACTAAGCACTCTGGGAACTGATACTTTCCAGGGTAAACATGCAGGACAGATTCATAGATTAGAAGTATAAAAGTTGATCTAGCAAACCAGACAACACCCCCTATGTAGTATTTTGTTGTTAAAAATGGTACTACCGTCAAAGCAAAAGTTAGAACTCTTTAGTGACTCTTTGTGTGAGCGTGTGGTATGAAGGGAGTTGGAGAAACAGGGCAGCAGAAACAGCCACACCCCAGCTGAGGGAGGGATCATTCCCAAGGTAACCCATATCACAAGGCTTGAGTTTTGCTGTGACACACCCTTAAGTTTTTTCTCTTTTTTTTCACTTCTCTGTCTATGCCTGGTTCTCATTTTCATTTGGCAATCTGACAGCCAGAAGCAAAAGATAGAAAGGTAAACCCTGCTTAGCCTGTTTTTTTTTTTATTTGAGGAAGCTGAAGAAAGCAAACAGATGTGCATAACTCAACTTTCTCTATGCAAAACAAGGGAGGAAGACAGCATTGCAGGGCATGTGCTAATCATATGGGTCCCTTTTAATAGTTGCACAACAATGTTATGACTAAAAAACATCTTTTGCACTATTTAACGGAATTTTAAACCATACCAAAGCATTTCCATCAGTTTGATGACACAACTATTCTAAACATCATATCACATGCTCTTACCTTGTCAATGAAGGAGGCAAAGCGGTTGTTAAGGCTCTTGATCTGTTCTTTCTCTTGGGTACGGACAACTTGGATTGCGGGGTCAATCTCCAGGTTTAGTGGGGTCAGCAGGCTCTTGTTCACGGTGACAGCAGTAATTGGGGCCTGAGACACCATGCCACCTCCAAAGCCCATACCCATGCCTCCTGCACCACCCATGCTGGAGCTGAGGCTGTACGCAGAGCTGCTGGTGATGCCTGCTCCTCCGTAGCCTCTACCGCTGCCAGCACCTCCATAGGAGCTCTTTACTGTGAAGGTCTTGCGGGAGGTGATGCCACCTGGTCCAGCATAAGAGCTGCTGCTGAAGCTCCTTGGGGCATTTGAGCTCCTGTAGGAAGTAGTTGAGGCCCTGAAAGACATTTCAAAGTTTTTTTTTTTTTTTTTATCCTAAATGAAATAAGTTTTGGATAGTCAGAGCAATTTATGATCTGATCTAGACAGACAAACAGGCAGGCCAGCAGAGGGGAGAGACCAAGGCGGATAGACAGAGGGGAATCTAACAAGGAGTTTTAAACCCTGCCTCTGCTGTGGGAGGGGACTTACACAGGCTACAGATCTGAGTAGGCAGGGCTTGGTTGTAATTTTACACCAGTGTGACACACTGCCAAACCAGTCAAAAGTATAACCTCCCCTTCATGTTTCTCTAAACAGATACAGAAATCTGCTTGAGGAATTTCAGGACGTGATACTTTTTTCTGTCTTTCTCTGTGTCCCCTGAGTATAAGTTGTTAAATGCAGATGTTGAGATCAGATCAAATTTTTAAAAGTTCTATATCAGGCTTAAAGAAGAAATGTCTTAGTTTTTCAAGTGTTTCTAGTTAGGTGTGTCACAGTGTAAAAGCCAGAGTCATTGATGGGTTAGGGTTAGGTGCTGATTACGTTTGCAACATCAAAACCATTAATGTGAAAAGAGAAATGTAATGGAACTGGTTACCATAAGCTTCCAGCATTCCCAGTTTGGAATGTTTTGAATGATAAATAAAACCAGAGCAGGTTAGACTGCAAGTAGATCCAATCCTACCATAAAGTTTCATGTTTGTTTACAGTAACTTCATTTGTTTTTATCAAACCATAAAGCAGGTATCAGTTGGTATTAGCATGTTGCTGACAATGGTGGACATCTTCCACTAAAAATATGTTTTGTGGTTTCCTAGTGAGAGGGTTTAGTTAATTGAATTTCGAACAGAAAGAAGATGTTCCATTTAAACATCAATCATTTTTCCATCTTCATTTGAGTAGTTCAGATGAAAAACAACTAAATAAATACTACTACAATTGAATAAAGTGCAAGCCAAGACTATTTAGCTGATAAGTGGCTATCCTTCTTCTGAATTATAAATGAAAATTATCAGTATAGTTTAAATGTTTAAAAAATGTTTTCAATGTATCAAATATAATTAAGCATAATCTAGAGAAAGCCAAATGCAAAGCTGGAGTTAGCAGATTTCCTTTTTAAACAAATGCTGTCTTCTCAAACATCCCCTAAAGTTGTTGTTTTCCCCTATTGGTTTAATTAAAACTAAAAGCAAAGAATTATAAATCAGATAAAGAGACATGTTTCTAGTCTTTAGAGTGTCTAGGCATTGGATAGAGATAGCTGCTAAAACCTGCCATATTGACTTTAAGGTTTTAAGCTAAACTAAGTTAACAGGCAGATTGCAGACTGGCTTAATTTGGATATCAGTTGAATGAAATAATCAAATTTTTTATTTGCCAAATTCTCACTGTGATAGCAAAGGAAGCTTAGTGGAGGCTGTGTTATGGTCAAGGGCACCATCTCCTAAAAATAAATCATTAGAGGGAATCTCCCTCCCTTTGGAGTTATCTTCATAAGATCCTATCAATAGAAGGGACCACATTTCTAAACTCTTAGGGACTGAACTCTGTATAATCTAATGCAGGCATACACTGTACAATTTTATGTCCTTTTTGAGCTGATTCCCAAATCATGCAATAATTTTTCGATCGGGCAGACATTCAGCCTCATCGCACGTTGCGCGTCTTGCATCGTGTAGTGTACATGGGTAATGAGGGGCGATCAGCCTCTCACGACCACCTCTCAATCAGGGATCGTAAGGTCGGGTGAAGATCAAACATGTTTGAAATGTAGTCGGCAATCGTAAGATCGCATCAGAATGTCTGGCTGCACAGTGTGAGAGCATCCATCGTGAGCTGTGAACTTTTAAACCATGCGGTCTCATCGTACAGTTTTATCTGAAGCTGCGTGCTACGATTGAAAAGATTGTGCAGTGTGTGTGCCCGGCTTAAAGATGAATGGAGTGCCCTATATGTTGTCCTGAACTTATCCCCCCTACAAAATGAACATCTTAGGCATAAGAGTGATCATACCACAATGACAAACCTCATCAAATTTGCTCACTTGCAACAAATTCTGGTTGAGGAGTGGGATGCATGTGTAACCAAGCTGTTGACATGCAGGATAAAGTGCCTTTTCTTGTTGTATTGTAGAGTGCTTTCAGGAACTACTGTGGCCCCTTGTTTATTAAATCAATTGGTGACCTTGCAATTATGTCTAGTTTCTCTATACTTCAATCATAATTTGATAAAGACAGAATAAGCAGGTAAGACCCAAAACAGTGGCTGTTTCCGAATGCCTGCCCTAATCACTATATAGGGCACCATATAGTTAGCCTCGTGAGACCATCCTGATCTCGCGAGATTTCAAGATTTCACTCGCTAATCAGTCTGGAGACTCTCCGTTGAAGAAAATTTGGAGC